AGCTAAACATGTCATCACTGGTCACATTGGGTAGGGGTCCAGAGAAAACTACGGAGTCCGACATTGTTTTAGCGAAGTTACACATCGACTCAACTCAACGTCATAGTCCAATGTTGCACTGCTGTGTAAAGACAATAAGGAAAAGAGGGAATTCTGTGCTAATTAAAGGAATTACACCAAGGAGTCCACCATACTATTGGTGAGGGTTGATTGAAGACATTATTTGCATATGTAATATTGCCTACAGAGTTAGAATCATACAGAAGTGTAACACCTAACATCTTGTGTGCTGTAATCTGCATGATGGCAAATTTCAAATTGTAGAGAAAATATAATGTGATCAAACTAAAGACAGGTCCTCTCCATTTCCAGTGGCTGAATATGATATATAGTAATGTCAAATAAATACCATTCACATGATGAATATCGAGGGCAAATCTGCAGTCAAAGGGCACTGACGGCTAAAAAGATGAAGCATTTTTTTTATTTGACCTAGTAGTCTATTCAGAGAGCACAGGCTCTGGTGCATTTAACCACTGAGTCATCCTAATAATCACTGTACTCTGGATACACACATGGCTTTGAAAACAAGATCTGCTGATGAGTTTTGCTGTGTTCACTTCTTGCTTCCCTGCTGTTTGCTACTTATAACCTCAGAGCTGAACAGTACTAGTCGAAATTAAGGATTCAAATGAGTTTTCTGCTCATGTTATCTAATTATAACTACCACTGCAATCTCTCCTCTGCAGCAAATGAGTTGACATAATGAGATAAACTCTCCTTCTTAATCAAACCAGGCTTCACACTGTGATATGTATCAACCTCTAGCTTGTCTACATCAGATAGAATAAAGACATGGATTTGTCATTGCTGAACCTCAAGTCTGATTTGATTTGCATGTGTGTATCAGACCGTCAGGACCTGGAGGAGCCTTCCAAGGTGGACCAGCTACAGGAGCCACTCCTGGAAGCTTTGAAGATCTACGTGAGGAAGCGCCGGCCCAGCAAACCACACATGTTCCCCAAAACCCTGATGAAGATCACAGACCTACGCAGCATCAGTGCTAAAGGTGGAAAGGATGTATTGCCTTACATTCCCCATTCACGCTTTCGGGCCCAATCGGCCCGACAGCATGGTCCGTAACAGGCCAGTGTCCTCCATCCTAGATACAGTATGGGCGTTGTCCAGTATAGCTGTAGTGTCCTCCAATCCTGAAGACTCTCTAAAATCTAGTTTTAATCTTTTTTGTCTGGCAACAGTCTGCACATTGTACAGTGTACTGGGTTTTATGAACAACATTAGCAAGTAGCTATGTCTGGAAGATTTTAAACATCTAAATAAAAACAAATCAAATAGAAAAATATTTATTTGCATTTTCTTTTGATGTATATTCACTTTTTTAGAATTACCAATTAATCAAGGTTTTAATCTTTGGTTTTACTTTGTCTTTTCTATTTGGTGTCATTTAAAGCTTCTCAGTCTAGCTTTTGAAGTGCTCTATATAAATGAAATTATTGTTGTAAAGTAAACAGAGTACCCACAAGTGTTTTACTATTATTTTACAGATGTCTAATCAAATAAATGCCTTTGATTTTACTCAGTAGTGTGTAAAACCATTGATGAAACCTGCCTCATTTTGCCTTAAAGACCACTAATAACAAAAACCCACCAATTTTCCAAGGTCAGGAATGAACTCGCACTGCAATTTTATTTTTAATTTTCTGTCTTCATCGTTGTCTTGCAGGAGCAGAGCGGGTTATCTCTCTGAAGATGGAGATCCCAGGTTCCATGCCGCCACTCATTCAGGAGATGCTGGAAAACTCGGAGGGCCAAGACGGCCAGACCAGTAGCAGCGGCACTTCAGCAAAGGAAACGGCCAGCAGCAAAGGCAGCCCCAGTGAGGATGCCACCGCTCTGGAATCACTGGAACCTTTGGATACAGAGGAGGCTACAGCCACGCCACCCAGCGATAAGCCCTAAGAGGCTCCCATTGGGGGCCTCTGATACTTTGACATTTCTTTGCACAAAAAAGAAGAACTGGGCAAGGTGCTGAACCCTCTACCCCAACTCACCAACACTTGGTATTATGTTTCCCATTCCCCTAAAATTCCCTCCTTAAAAAGAAAAGGCCTCAAAGGACCAGTGCTTTGTGTATAATTCTGAATTGCGCTCTTATTTGGCATGGTGGCTCTGGGATTGTGACAGGAAGGGCCTGGCCCTCACACAACACCAGAGATGATACTCCTCAGGTCTCCTGGGTAACTCCTTATCTGCATGATTCCTCATCTCTCGTATTGTTGGCATACTGTATGTACATTGTACATACCATTGTATGGTTACGTCTCTGTTTCCATGATGAATTTTGTGGTGCTTTTTTCATTGTCTTAAACATTATCTTTGAGGCGATACATCAAGGTTTAAAGCGGGACTAATTGTAAGTCCTTCAAAAAGTTATCTAGAATGTTATTGCATATAGACATTATGGAGGTCTAATATTTTATATTTGTTCCTATATTTAAAACTGCTTTCGTATTTTAGAACACTTAATGGGTCATGTCTCTACCTGAATGAGTGTACACCCATACCGCCAGAATGCAAGGCTTCTCTCCCTATCAACAGCCGAGTCTGTTTGGCTGTTTCCTCAATGGAGGGAAGCACAACAACAGAAGCCTTTGATGCACACTCATCAGACTGACTGCGTCTTTTCAGTTTCAACATGAAGGCTCAGCGTACCAGATTAAAGTTAGAATCAGCTGGTCTATGAAATCAACTCATTCAATTGCTGTATCTCAGTTACTCCACTGTCAAAATATATTGGGCAAATTAAGTTATTAATAAAAGCCAGCGATTTTCTGTAACAGGCTGTGATCACATGAGTCATGTGGACCATGATTCATCTTTAACTGTGTCACCCCTTATTATCATCATATGGTCAGTTAAGAGGTTTTACAAGTTTAACAAGACTGTGTTGTGCCAAAATTCGTACCACTCACAAATCCTCAAGGCAGTGTCCAGTCATTCAGTGACAAAGATTTCTGTTTTCGCATTTCTCGCTTTTTATTAATCTAATTCCCATCACCATAATGCTCTTGTTCAGTGGGAGAAGTACAAGAAATATCTCATGGCCAGGGAAACTAATTTATCAAAAAGAAAAAAAACCCACAGGGAACACAAATTGGTGACCAAGTCTATCTACAAGAGTCAAGTAGTAAGGGACGATGGTAAACATTAAAACACAACAGTAACACAAATAGAAAAAAATGCATCAAAACAGCAAACTCAGTCATTTCAATTAAACAAAATCCATCTAACACAAGCCACTACCAGGTAATTGTCATATAAGAACAAGTAAGTGTGGAGCAGCAAAACATGAATGTACTTAACTAAACAAGGCTGTGTTTTATTGCATTTTGGCTTTTTATTTATAAGACAGTAAAGAATAATTTAACTTGTGTTTGGGCTCATCTTGAGCTCAATTAGAATCTTAATTCAGTACTTGTGGCCATCATTTATGTTGGTTATGGTAACATACTCACCAGAGTAATTGCTGAGGTCTGAGAACACAGAAAATAGCTATGATGACATTGGACAGAGCAAGAAACATGAGCAGTCAGATGATCAGGGAGGCTGTAAACAAGCCCCATGATCTAAACCACTTTATTTGGATGTGACACTGAACACTGGCGTTGACTGTTCAGGAAAGAATTTTAACATTAGCTGTCTCTTTCTCTTCCAAATATGTTTGGCTAACCTAGGTTGTACTTTAACACCTGATCATCAGACTGCTTGAGGTTTTTGACCTGCCAGGTTTCTTTTGCTGTGTTTCTATTATTGGAACCTAACGAGCGTTACACCCCGTACTTCATCAAGCATAGCCTCCGTGCTGACAGGGACCATCCTTCTTTGTTTTATAGACCCACTTCATAGTTCAGCTTTGGCAGTGTAGCCACATTTCAGGTGTGCTCACTTGTGGCTTTACCTAGAAATAAAGTGGAAGCTAGTCTCATGTGTGCTAATGAGACTGCTTGTGTTTCTTGCACTGCTGGACCTGGGTGTAGTAGCCTCTATCCTAATCACAGCCTGTGACAGCTTTGACTTTTTCAAATATTGCCTGAATGTCAGCCTAATGAGTGTGTATCTACCGCAAACAGCATGTACAACCAACCGGGCTCTACAAATGCACATGGGCTCTGTGATGGCCTTATGAGCAGAGCTCCTCAACTCGCTTTTCTCTACCTTTTCATAAGTGTCTTGTTTGAACCGATGAAACAGGGGGGCAATGCAATCCTTAAATCACACTGATGACCGAGCCATGTGGGTCAGGAAGATTGTACACTAATGTAGAAAGCACACCGTGGGGTGGGATCCATGAAACCGCTCCAAACATTCGCCTTGCTCTTCAGACTTGACTGTGTGAGCTGCATTTAATGGTGCAAAAGGAGATTCCAGATGACCCTTTACTGCCCTGAGAAATGCAGTGGAGTAAAGCTTTACTTTGGACAGTACATCCAACTGAGCTCTGGTGAGAAAGGAGGCAATGCGTCTTACATCAGATGAGGTGGTCCTGTTGAAATTAAAAGATGATCCCAGAAAGCTGCTTTTCTCCACAGCTGAAGTCACACATGATACCGAACAATAAGAGCTAAATTCCATTATATCCTCTTACAGGACCTTGCTATCCCTGCTGGCAGAATAATGGCTCCATCCACTCTGATATCAAGCAGGTGTTCACTTACATCAGAGGGGACAAACTACCTGTAGTGCTTAAACATCTTGAAGCTTTGGAACATAGCTGTAATATGATACTTCACAGTAAGAAGGCTAACAGCAGCACCTGCTCAACCCAAACAAGGCCAAAGTTCAACTTTAATCTAATCAAGCACAAAAGTCATATATCACAAAGCAATATGTATAATTGGACAGATTTTTTTTTTTTTACACTAGTTAAGTTTTAAGAATATATTTGTGCCAGCATTCAGTTTGCATTTTGTCATTTCAAACAGTATATATCAAGTTTTGAATTTAAATATAAATCTGCATTGACTACAAAATTTTGACATCAAAAAGAGAATGAATTAAAAGTTGAGGCCAAATTGTGGTGGTACAATGCCAAAAACTCATATCAACCAATTCAGATCGGTTGGTTTGTCGACTGGTCTGCATCAACATTTTACATAGGTGAATTGATTGTGTGCTTTGCATTGAATCTAGACATGTACAAATCTGAGTTCTTAATTGAAACTCTACTCAAAATTCTTGGTGTCCAATTCAGACGTTAAGATGTAGCACCTGACCTTAGAAACATAAACTGACAGTCTCACTCAAGGTCCACTTACTTGCTGGTTCTTGAGCTTTTTGACCATACATTTATGTTTATCATTTTAGTGAAGTGACTCTGAAGTTATTTATTTCCTTAAATGTAAATGCAAAATCAAAACCTGATCCAAAACCAAATGTATCAAAATGCACCTGTTTTTTGACACAAAGATATTCCCATACATACTGTGGTAAACACATCAAAATGTTTGCCGATGTAAGAAAGTGTTAGAGTGACTAGATGACTCATTCAGTGAGGTATCCTTTGGAGCAGTGAAGGGTTCTGGGTCTCAGCAGCACATAATAAAAGCCCAGAGCTGTTTCAGTTTTTAATTTTTATGTGTTTGAATGTGAATAATGTCATGGAGTCTGTTAGAAGAATAATATGCAGTGTTAGGAATTCTTATTTCTATCTCAGTATAACATAGGAAATGCTCTCCCGTAGTTCTCTCTCTGTCTTGCTCTCCTGGTGAGAGAAGAAGGGAAGCATTTGTGTGTGTGTGTGTGTGTGTGTGTGTGTGTGTGTGTGTGTGTGTGTGCTTTAAAGCTGGAAAACTTTCACAGCCGAAACTGAAGAATGTCCACATCCACCAGTGACGTGTCCGTCCAGCCTTCAGGCTCCTGGACACAGTGAGGACAGTTGCCTGTTCCTTTAGGAAACAACTTCACAATGCTGAATTCCTGTTGTTCATTTCTGTTGAATGTTGTACCGACGTAACTGTAATACTCTACTATCTAGCTCACTGCAGAGATGTTATATAAATGGTGTGTGCTTTGCATTCCAATGGGCAGCTCAGTGGAAAAGACACTCTGTTACTTGTCCTTGGGAACATCAACTCACAAGTATAAAAAAGAAAAAAAAAAGGGGGGGGAGGAGGAGGAACTGAAAGTTGGTGGGCTGATCTGGACATCTAGGTTGTACTACACATAACACATATACAGTGTATAATGTGGGACAATGAGAAAGAGAAGCCTGTGAGCGGTCAAGTCACCTCAGTAACTGAAATTGTTGACATGTTCTGTTCCTGTTCCATGTCAAACAATAGAGCTACACCCACCCCTTTGCCAATAAGCTGTTATCAATCAGTCAAACCCGGTCAATGACAATTATGTGGTTAATAGGTCAACTAGGAATTGACCAGTATGGGGCTTTGAAAAGTAAAAGGGATTTTGCTGTAGTTAACATCATGTGCTGATAGTAAGTCCAAGGAAAAACTGATCTTAAGATAGGCAGCAGACAACCACTTCCACTGGGAATACTGCACTTTTTATATTAGGCTAATAATAGCTCAACTATGTGTAATGTGTAAGGTGCCACTTGTACTAACGAATACACAGAGAATTATCCCCCAACTCATTTTAGCATCTTTAAGCACTGTGCTTTGGTTCAGTGTCTCTGCTCAACAAGTTCACTGCCAACTGCTTTAGGCAAGAACTTCTGACTATGAGTCAAGCATCAGAGAACAGGCAGACAAGTCAACAGCAAGCTAATTAGCAACATATCAAAAATAAGAGTCAATATTGGCCTAACGTTTGTAAGGCAGACAGAGTTATGGTTAAATGCCTAGTCAGTATACCATATACCGTATATAGTACAAAGGGTTATACTGTACATGTACATCAAAGTTGTTAACAGTTGGTTTTGCTGCCCCCAAGTGGTCAAATTAAGATGCAGCATACAAATGTGATTATATTGTAAAAATCTGGTCAGTTGTCTGACAAAGACCAAAAAAATAAGAGAGAATTGTAAAAATTTTGGTGAGCCGGAGGTTGAATTCTCCCTTTAAATATGAGTTTTTGAATTCCTGAAAATGACATATTTGCTTCCTTGGAATACTACACTATAGTGAGGGTGGAAACCATTTGCAGGGCACTTTTAGGTAGCAGAATCAAATTCTGAATATCTGACTTGAATCACAACTGGGAAGTTGATGTGATCTTACTCATAACT